CTGAGGTATGGTGTCCTTCATGTTTAGCTTTGAGAGATAACTTGTTAGTTTTAACTTTGGCAACTTGTTTAGGCCTACAGTCTCTTTAATGCCGTTTCATTTGTGTAGTATGCCGCATGTTTGACGGGAGGTTCATTTGATGAAGCACGTATGCTTCAAAACATAGAAGCGTGTGAGTGGTTGGCTGGTGCTTTACACAGTCTTGAAGCGCCAAACTTGGATCCTATATATGCAAATATACGGGCTGTGAGCATTCTGTCTATTTCATTTGTTTCAGTTCTTTTTTTTTTTTTCAAAAATTGTGGCCAGATGTTTGAAATTTAGAGTTCCCTCTCATTACTGAGGTGCTAGACTAGAAATAGCTGTTTTGATTATTGATATTGGAAACCTCATTGTGTTTGTAAGTAGTAATTGAAATTCTTACAGGTTAAAGAGAAGCGAGAAGAACTTGAAAAACTGAAATCTACATTTGTCAGGAAAGCTTCTGAGTTCTTGCGAAATTATTTTGCTAGTTTGGTGGATTTTATGATAAGTGACAAGAGCTACTTTTCTCAGGTACACTTTAGGGGACGTTTCTTTTACAATTTAATCAAAATTGTCATTTCCTTTGTACGCATCTCAATGCTCACTATTGTGCTTGTTTAAAATAGCGGGGCCAACTGAAAAGGCCTGATCATGCTGATCTACGGTACAAATGCAGAACATATGCTCGCCTTCTGCAACATTTAAAGGTCAAAGATTAACTTAACTGCATTAACCATTAGGAATTTTGTTCTTTCTACTTGCCCTTGTGCACTGCTGTTTTTTTTCTTTTGCTTACCTTCCCCCCCTCTCTTCCCCTCTCTCTTTGCATTTGCAGAGTCTTGATAAGAATTGCATGGGCGCTTTGAGGAAAGCATATTGTAGCTCCCTCAACCTGCTTATTCGTCGTGAGGTCAGAATCACAACCTTATATTCTATCACCTGAATGTTACTTATATATATGTGTTAGAAGTGTATTATTTGGTTGCTGTTTTTATCAGTTATATTTAATTTTGTCTTATATGATGGACCTTCTCTTGATTGGCCAGATTTTGGGTTTTCCATCTGATAACCAGGCTTCCTGATAAGATTGTGACATGGATGGTTTGGTCGTTCAATGTAGAATCAACTTGTAATAAGTTAAGCCAGAATGGTGGTGATTTGATTCAACATTGCAATAACCTAATCAAATCATTCTTGTTCTCGAAATAAACTTTTATAGACATTAGATAGTTAAGTAGTTTGATCAGTTTGAAAGATTGAGTATATAATTTGATACCTACAGGCTCGTGAATTTGCAAATGAGCTTCGTGCTAGTACAAAAGCATCAAGAAATCCAACCGTCTGGCTTGAAGCTTCTACTGGGTCTGGTCAAAATGCGAATGCTGCAGACACTTCTGCTGTTTCTGAAGCTTATTCCAAGATGCTTACAATTTTTATCCCACTCCTTGTAGATGAGGTTAAAGTCGAGTTACATTATAGTTTCTTTGATCTACATAGCACATATCTCCGTATTAAATCTCCATTCTAAAATGGTGCAACTGCAGAGTTCTTTCTTTGCACACTTTATGTGTTTTGAAGTTCCAGCACTTAATCCTCCTGGGGGTACTGCTAATGGAGATAAGTCTGATGACACCAATGACGATGATTTGGGAATCATGGACATTGATGACAATGACAGCAAAGCTGGTAATTTGCACTATATTTTTGTTGTAATTACCTATGTGTTTCTGATCATATTTTAACTGACTGCAATGGCTGTTTCTGCTTCTTTCTCTTGCATTTTATACAATTGTCTAATTTTGTAGGTAAAAGTTCAGGAGAGCTTGCAGCATTAAATGAATCTCTTCAGGATTTACTCGATGGAATCCAGGTAATGTGCAGAACTTGTTGCCTATTTTTTCGTACCTGCTCTTGATTTTTGTTGTTTGGGCTTCATTTGCTCACCTCACCAGTTCAGCCTCTCTATCCTAGTCATGACTTGTGCATAGCAGCGTACACTATCTTGTAGTCATTTTAAAGTTCCTTGTGAAAAAATAAAAGAGGCCAATTTATATAGTTTTCAGGAAGACTTTTATGCCGTTGTGGATTGGGCTTACAAGATTGATCCCTTACGCTGCATATCAATGCATGGGATTACAGAGCGCTATCTTTCTGGTCAGAAAGCTGATGCAGCAGGATTTGTGCGTCTCTTGCTTGGTGATCTGGAGTCGAGGGTTTCTATGCAGTTCAGTCGCGTAAGTTTCTGAGTTTAGTAGTGATCATCATCATATGTTTTTGAGGTTATGTTCTGAAGATTCTGAACCCCTGTAATGTTTATGATCCTTTGCAGTTTGTTGATGAAGCTTGCCACCAGATTGAAAGAAACGAGCGCAATGTTAGACAAATGGGTGTCTTATCATACATCCCAAGGTGAACTGGGATTTTTGCCACATTTATCATATATGTAAAACAAAAATGGAAATAATTCTGTATGTCTTCAAATTGAGGAATGCAATTTCCCGTAGAAATTTATCTGTTCTGTTCAGGCAGTTACTTATGTTTGCTTGTCTTCCCCTTTACTTAGATTTGCTACTCTGGCAACACGAATGGAGCAGTACATCCAGGGACAATCAAGGGATTTGGTTGATCAAGCATACACAAAATTTGTGAGTGCTTTTTTTTTCTGAAAATTTTTCTCGTCATTGGTAGTATAATGCAAAGAAAGTGATGATTATCAGATATCATGGTATACAGCATAATCAATAACCGTTGATTTAAATGGTTTTGTTTGCTGGGTTCACCAGCAATATGGTGGTTCAAGCAGTATGAGGAAGATTTTCTTAAAATTATGCTTCAATCATACACCATGCTAGTGTTCTTCCTATGTACTATTCCATTAAAGCTTATTATTTAGTTATCACACTGATTACTCAAGTTTGAATTCAGAGGGCAACGTTCTTTTTTCTAAACCTTGCAGTCTATTGGCTGTGTGAAGAATAGATAGATGATGATAACATTTGATTGTCTATCAGTTTGATGTTTTAACAGAACTGCGTCTCCATTTTCTTACGTTAGATCAATTGTTTGACAGGTTAGCATAATGTTTGTGACTTTGGAGAAAATTGCACAAACGGAGCCAAAATATTCTGATCTTTTTCTATTAGAGAACTATGCTGCATTTCAGAATAGGTATTCTTCTTTTTCCCTTCTACTATGATCAATGCTTTCTTTTTTCGTTGACCATTTTTTATGAGAAGCCGTTTGGTTGCAGTTTGTATGACCTAGCAAATGTTGTGCCCACCTTGGCCAAATTTTATCACCAGGCAAGTGAAGCTTATGAACAAGCTTGCACACGCCATAACAGCATGATCATATACACTGTGAGTTATCCCGATGCCAAATCTTTATATAATTTTTTCTTCCCACCCCCCACCCCTTGTTCCTTGTCGAATTATGTTCATATAGACACAGCAGTTTTCTCAAGGGCAGATCTATTTTGGTGACATATACCCTCGTTGTGTTTTCTTTTGGCAGCAATTTGAACGGCTTTTCCAGTTTGCTCGAAAAATAGAGGATTTGATGTTTACAATCGCACCAGAAGAGGTTAGTGTGTAAACGGCTGAGATGGATCTCAAATATCTATATCTGATAAAACAGTGAAAAAATGAAACCACTCTTAGTTATGTCTACTCGTGAAAATGAAACTGTGTCCATTGATTACACCATGAAGAATATCTAGCCCCGCCCTGCAAATGGACTGTATAGTGTAATTGCCCGAATGATTTACGTGGAGATATATATTTTCGAAGTCTTAATTTTCTGAATGTAATGGCTGATATCATTTCCTTCACAAATTGCAGATCCCTTTCCAGCTTGGGTTGTCAAAGGCGGATCTGCGGAAGGTGTTAAAATCAAGCTTATACGGGGTGAGTTGATTTACCTATCCGAAATAGTTTCATCCGTGAATGTTCGTTTCTAACACCTTCATGGATGTACAGCTTGACAAGTCCATCACTGCAATGTACAAGAAGTTGCAGAAAAACATGACTTCAGAAGAACTGCTGCCTTCTCTATGGGAAAAATGCAAGGTACGTAACAAAAGTTTCTTCGCAAACATGAAGAGTTCCTTCACCTTCCCATTGATAATATCTGATGAATGTCGCGGATTTTGACAGAAGGAATTCCTTGAGAAGTATGAAACTTTTGCTCAACTCGTCGCCAAGATTTACCCGACAGAGACCTTTCTCACGGTAGCAGAACTGAGAGACCTTTTGGCTACCATGTAAAGCGAGAGTTTGCCTTGCATATCTTGACAGCTTCTTTTGAGGGATGAACTTAGCTTGCATAATCTTTCCTTTCCTTTCCATTCTTTTTGTTTCATTTTCCGGCAACATTTTCTGGTAATTTGATTTATTAAAAAATGTCGATTTTTCGAGCGTCTCATGTCGGTACTGATGAAAAAAAACACACATCATTGTGATTTCGAGGAGAGTATTATTCACCATTTGCAATGTCTTGCATGAGTTCTAAGGAGCTTCTGCAGCAGATAAAATGACACGAGAGTAGGTTTGATTATGGTTTTTTCGAAAGATCTTTTGCATGTGCGGTAAGAAGATGTTATTAGCAATTTGGAAGTGATTTATTGAGGCATAAAACGTAGCTAAAACGGAGTTTTGTCGACCATAAACTCATAATTTTTCTAGCATATAAATTTAATAAAAATCACTCCACTTGATAAATGGTAAGTTTGCTTCAATACAGTTTATAATACGCAAAAGATTATTACAACTAAATAATCACATAGTTCACAAAAATTGTGATACAATTTTTCGAGTTCTATGTATTTTATAAAAAACTATCAGAAAACTTTTATTTATTTATTTATTTTTAAATTTTTTTATGAAAGTCTTTGTGTGGCCTAGTTCACGGTGGCGTCTTATGCTTATAATGTAACAACATGCGTTCATTGTCATCACGTGTCCTTATTTTATTAGCATGAAACGCCGTTGCAGTTCGTATGAGCAAATGAAAAACCGACAAAAAAAGTGCATATACTGATGAGAAGCCTTTTAAAAAGTCGGTCGTGGACCAATAAACCTCCAGACTTTTTTTTCCATGGAATTATTGGTCCTTTTCTTCCACTTCTTGGCCTTATCTCCAACTCCTCCACCATGGATTCCACTCACTACTCCGACAGATTCCTCAGAGATGATCAAACGGCGTCGCAGCCGCTTCGCTACACAATCTGTAAACAAGCAGACATGAGCCAACGCCAACTCCGTGATATTACAGAGATCTGCTCAACACTCTTCGTGTCAAGAGCGGCGGCGATCATCTTACTCCGCCGCTGTGATTGGAACGCAAGTAAGTTGTTTGACAAGTGGTTTGAGGAAGAAGACGAGGCTCGGAAAAGATTGGGACCAAAACAAGCCCACTTGTTCGAACCTTGTCTTCTGATATTGGTTTGTTACTTGTGTTTTTGAAACATTTGTGGATGGTGACACGGTAGTGGAAGTGGTGATAACGATTCTAAATTATAACTTAAATTTTTCGAGTTAAAAATTTTGGATTTTAATCCACGGATTGGAGATGGTCGTGAACGTTTCGTACAAGCAAATGAAAACTGAAAGGTGCATATACTGATGAAAAACTTTTTAATAATTCGGTCGTCAGTGGCAATTCAACCAGAAAGTTCACCGCACCAACCTCCAAACTCTCTTTTTCCATGGAATTATTGGCCCTTTTCTTCCACTCTTCTCTAACTTCTATCGACTATGCAAACTTTTGCAAAAATCAGAGCTCAACTTTTCTTTATTTTATTTTATTTTATTAAAAAGGAGACCTGGTGGCTTCGTCACACCACTTCACATTTTTTACGGTAAGAAAGATTCACAAATGCATTTCAATTTCTCATGATCATAAGCGTCAGAAATCGAACCTAGACGTGCAGTCTTGAATATGGATCTAAAATTCATCTCTAATCACTGGTCGTTCCTGGACGGTTCTCTCCAACTTGGTTATGGGCCTGTTGGTGGGGCAAAACTTCAAAACGGCATAAAGAATCACAATACCACTGATAAAGCTTCAAAGTCATTTTTAATTGTGACGGGAATACAATTGGTATATCACGTATTTTGATAGAAGTGGTGAAAAATTTTATTTTTTAAGTTATTAACTTTTTAGCACATATATTTTACCATTTGTATAATACCACCCGTGTACCGGTAAAAAATCTCTTCAATTCCACATAGAAGAGTAGACACAGAGCAACTCTCCGTCGCTATAAATACCTAATCAGGCAACAGTGCCTCCTCCTCCTTCATCCACCGTCCATCCCATCTTATCTCGGGATTACATCGACTGCGGTGACTCCGTAGAGAGCTAATCGTTCCGAAAGAAACGCTCTACTTGCCGAAATCATCGCTATCAGCGAAAGACTAAAACGGAAGGAATCAAATAAAAGAATCTCTAGGGTTTCTGTATTCCATGGACAAGAAACGCAACCTGAACGGAGACAACTACATCGTCATAAGCAGCGATGAAGAATCGGATCGATCAGAATGTTTTGAAGAAGAAGACGACGCAGTGGATGATGAGTTTGCTTTTGTCCAAGAAGACAACATCGACAACACCGATCACTACGAGTTCAGCGAAAATACTGATTCGTCTCATGATCCAAATCAAAACTACGCCATTTTGAAAGAGGAAGAGATTCGCCAACTGCAGGAGGAAGATATCACAACAGTTTCTACTATCCTTTCCATACCGAAATCCGCTGCATGCTTCCTCCTCTCACACTTCAACTGGAGCGTCGGCAAAGTCAGCGAGGAGTGGTTCGCCGACGAAGATAGAGTCAGAGAGAAGGTAGGGTTGTTGAGGAACCCCGTGGTTAGTTTCCATCCCACAGATTTGATTACTTGCAGAATATGTTTTGATGATCATCAGTATGGATCGAAGGATGTTTTTTTCGCTGTTTGCGGTCATCCCTTTTGTCGGGATTGCTGGACAGGTTATTTTAAATCAGCGATAGATGAGGGTCCGACGTGTTTGATGCTGAGATGTCCCGAACCGTCTTGCAAGGCAGCGGTTGGACCGGATTTAATCGAGGGTTTGACGACAGGAGATCATGAGAGGTATAAGTCCTTCCTTTTGAGATCTTACGTTGAAGGGCGCAGGGAGATCAAGTGGTGCCCTGCACCGGATTGCAAGTACGCTGTGAAATTCAATGCAGGTGGAACCAAAAGCTATGACGTTTCGTGCCTTTGCTTGTACGGGTTTTGCTGGAATTGCAGTGAGGAAATTCACCGTCCCGTGAACTGCAAGACTGTGGAAAATTGGATTTTGAAGAACAAGGACGACTCGCTGAATGCGCAGTGGATACTTGGGAATACCAAGCCTTGCCCCAAGTGCAAGAAACCAATCGAGAAGAACCAAGGGTGTAATCATATGACTTGCTTAAACCCTTGCAGGTATGAATTTTGCTGGTATTGCCTCGAGAAGTATACTGGACATAGATGCTGCAATGGATATAATAGGGCAACTGGTGAATATACTGGAACTGACACGGACAAGGTTGAAGCTGGGAGGGATAAAAAGAGGGCAAAGAGATACGTGGAGAAATACCTACATTATTATGAACGATGGGCAAACAATCTATCTTCGAAGAAGAAAGCAATAGAGGATTTACATAATGTGCAGAGCACGGACATTATGAAGCTTGCCGCCATACAATGTCAATCGGAGCTTCAGCTCAAGTTTATTGTAGAGGCGTGGCAGCAGATCATTGAATGTAGGCAGGTATTGCGATGGACGTATGCATACGGGTACTACATTCCCGAGAATGAAGAACTGAAGATTCAGCTATTCGAGCACTTGCAAGGCCACGCGGAGTTCAGCCTGGAGAGGCTTCACAAATGTGCTGAGAGTGAGATGAAAGAGTTTCTCTTTGCTAAAGGTCCGTTGGAAAGTTTCCAGGACTTTCGTATAAAGCTCGTAAGACTGACAAAGGTGACTGCAAGTTATTTTGAGAAGCTGGTTAGAGCGTTGGAGAATGATCTTTCTGAATTGGACATACAGGGGATTCACAGGTCTTGATCTTGTTACCAGTGTGCCAATTCTGAATGCTTGTTCTCCAATGTAACCTGGAAGCTGGAGAGGTGTGTCTGACTCCTGAGAAGGCGTTAACTAGCTCTCTGTTTTCCTCCCCCATTTATTTATGATCTAATGGACTACAATTTAGTGGATTTATTATGAGATAGGTAACTTGTTTAGGAAGTTTCATTTCGTTTCTTGTTCGGTATGAAACCTTTTGTGTAGTATATTTTTTCTAATCAAATTCTGTTTGCCATTGATAAATGTTATGTTTGATATCTCATTGGGAGTTACCCTCTTGGGAGTTGTGAAAATAGCAAAATCACTAGCAGAGTGTAGGAAGTAACGATACCACTTTAAAAATGTCATCATACACTTATCTGCAATACAAATAAAACGCAGAAATTGAATTTGGAAATGAAGGTTTTGTGAAGCATTCTTCTCCCTAGAAGCGATTTTTTTTTTCCGTCAAATCACACTACGTATACAAGTAATTTTATTAAAGATGAACCGGAAGATTTACATAGCACTATAAGTGATTTTGTTTCAAAACATGGGAATTACTTGTATGTGGCCTTTAATGAATCTTTAAGAGTACCAAAATCACCAATGAGAAACATCACTTCTATATAAGTTTTGTGTCGAATTATCAAATCTTCCTCTCCTTCCTCCCATCAGAATCCTAGGTCTACAAAATTCATAGCCGCTGACTCCTTATTTGATTGGAGACCGGTGGCAGCCACTGTCCTTATTCTCATAGCCCTTCTCCTTCATCTTCTCATGAATTGCTGCAATCTTTGATTTTTGTTTTAGTATTTTGTCAATAAATGCCTCCTTTGGTGAGGTTATTTGTGAGTCTCTCCAAGTGAATATTTTTGTTTTGTGTTAGTTTGTAATCGGCTCCTCTTGGGTCTACTTTGATGTTTCTAGTAGCTTCATCGATGAAGTTGAGCACTTGGTATGGACACTAGTTGGTTCATTTGTCAATTCCTTTTCAGAGTCGTTCCTACTAATTGTCAAAGAGTGTTCTCATTTCTATTATTGTAGTTTCTCTGTGTGTGGAATTTCTCATGTCAATTGGCAAAGTGTTTGATTTTCATTAGGAATGGTGTTCCCTTGGCTTTGAAGTGCCATCTCAGTCCCTTGAGTTTGAGTGTGGATGATTTCAATACTTGGATATGCTTTTGCTTATTCTCAGATATATCTCGCTCTCAACTTCACTAGTACAATGACAACTAATATGGCCAAATTGGACTTTATTGTTTTGTTTGAGTCTTTTTGGATTGAGGACCTCTTAGATGAAATCCAAAATATCTTCTTTAATATTTGTATTAGTTTTTTAAATTATAATAATTTAATAAAACAGCTATTTATTCTCCTCTCAAAATCCCTTATATATACAGATCCTAAATTTGTATCCAAAATTGAGAAATCAACAACATCTGATTGATGAATCAATGTGGATGGGCCAAAGGTTGTTAGGGTTCTCTATCGATTTGGGGATGGGGCAAATCATAAGGGAACCATTTCATTAGGCAGAGCCCAGAGAACTTACAAACAAAACAGTAAAGTTACATATAACCCAACAAAGACCAGCAGAAAGACACAGGAAGAAAAACAACAGAAGGTCTCGCCCAAAGCTAAGACAGGGGAGATGAGCAGAGCATGACCTGATAGCGAGGCTGAGGTCCAATCTGCTAACCTCATCTATCTCAACTAGCACAAATTAAGGGGGGCAAGGAAGATCATCCTTCGACAAAATATGAACTAGAGAGGATGGGGGCCTAATGACCCAAACGTCATTGCGCATCCCTCTTTTACATTGCGAAGAGACCCAATCGGCTGCACCATTCGCTTGACGCGGAATCCATTACCATCTAATTGACTGAAAACGATGAGAAAGATTCCGGATTTTGGTTAACAGAGGAAATATGGTCCAATTCCCATGCTTGGGATCTCCCTTGATGTTGCTAATGAGTTCCAGAGAATCAGATTCAAAGGCCACATCGAAGAAACCGTTATCAATTGCTAATGATGTTGCTGATCGGCTGATGAATTGGAGTTTTTAACATGGATTTGAGCAACCTTGTACTAGCCATTAGTCTTTTAACTCGGGCCTTAACATTTTCAACTTGGTTATGCACTAATCGCAAAGCAATGAATAGACTTCAAGCACTCGTTCGAACTCATCATAAACCATTAAATTACACAGCTCAATTAAACCGTTGCTTAATACCTTAATTAAATTACTAATCCCTCAAATCGGAAAAAAAAAGTAATTATTTATAAACCCAATAGTTATCTTCCCAAATTAGCAAAAAATGGTTATCTTCACAACATAAAAAATCTTTCACATTTTCCCATTTAGCCCTTAAATCAAATTAAAATAAAAAGTTAAAAACCCTAATGAAAATCATAAAACCAAAGACCTCTATCAGCACTTAGAGCAGCTTCTCTCAATTTATGAGCTCTCTCTCGTTGTAATCAGAATTGAAAGTAAGGGGAGGCACGATTCAGTTCGGTGCGGTTGTGAAGCTAAAACCAAATCGTTTGATTCGATTCGGTGCGGTTTCAAGCAACTTCGATTCAATTTTTTTAAAAAAATTTTACCGTTTAAAATTGCACAAAACTTCATCAAAGATAGATTTAAACCTGTAGCAAATTCTTCTACAATCTGGGCCATATGAGAAATCAAAGCTAACATTTTGTAGGGATGCATGCACGCCAGGCTCCAGCTACTGTAATGGTTGATCATTTCATTTTTCATGAACATATAAAATCACATTTCATATGATCCAGAGGAGTGGTAAATATATATAGTTTTTACTCTCTTTTTTTATTTATATAATTTCTCCTTAGCATGTAGAGCTAGGTAAGAGAGAGAGACTGATGAGTGATAATATCTGTCGAATAGTGTTGAGTCCATAATAAAAGTATGGATTCTAATAAATAATTAATTAAAACATGATATCTAATTTGAGGTGAGATTTTCAAAAGTCAAAATCGAAACTAAATCGTTTCTAACATTGCGGTTTGGTTTCAAAACGGCAAAACCGAATAGTTCAGTGCGGTCCAATTTAATTTGTGTTTTGGTTTCGGTTTTCAATTTCAAGTCTCTACCCCTAATTGAAAGAGAAACCGCTTCCAATTCCCTTCCTGCAATCACGAGAAATTTTTCTAAGCACCTGGCATATATGCTGACATGGAGTTCCACCAATAATCATTTAACACCTTTATATTTTTATTTTTTTAAATCTCAAAAAATGCTAGCTGTTTCAAAAATTACCTCGAAAAGAAAAAATCAAAACTCATGGCTACCCTAAATCTTACGACAACAGTCAACCATCCAATGCACCCACCTCCATCATTGGCCGACGATTTATCTGGCGTCATCCATCCCTTCTCTCTCTTCGATTTTTTTTATTTTTTATTTTATTTTGTATAATTTCCTCTTTTTCGCTCCCACTCTTACTTCTACATGGAACCCAGGAATTGTCAACGGCAACTCCTACTCAGATCTGGCATCGCCAATCCCGATCTATCAACCGCTGAGGTCGCCATCATCCCTTGTGTTCTTTTTCTGGCGCAGTAGAAGAAATAAAAAGGGAAAAAAAGAGAAAGAAAGGGAGAGAGAGGTGAGGGGAAGGGCAGGATGGGTATGGGGATGGGTGTGACGGTGGACGGAATAATCCCATCTTTTTCCTCCTTTTTTTAAGAGTAAATTGTAATTCAATTTGAGTAATAGTCCATCAATTAAAATATAGTACCATTAGTCATTCAACTTTAATCCAACTGAAAAAATTATCCCTCAACTTTAATTCAATTAGAGACTTTAACCCAATTGTAGCAATGTTTATTCTAACATAACTTATTTTGACAAAATTCAGATGAAGTTGATGAAAATGACCATAGCTACACGTTTTGATGAGTTGAGGGACTCCAATTGTAGTAATGGTCATTCCGACATAACTCATTTTGACAAAATTCTAATGAAGCTGACGAAAATGACCATAGCTAAATATTTTGATGAGTTGAGAGATCAATGACACTTGATTTTTAGTTAAAAAATCATTACTCTAATTTGATTAAAATGGTTGGATATTTGTTACAATTTAATTATTTATTTTAATTATTTTCTAAAAATAAAGATAAGGATAAAATAGGTATTTCAACAAAATAATTAACCATAGGACAAGTGTCAGACATTTATTAGTGGAGAACTCCATAACAGCAAATGTGCGGGGTACCTGGAAAATTTTCTCCACAATCACCCTCTCATTTCCTTCATTTTCTTTTTCCAATTCCCTTTCCCCTGGACGATTCGCATGGACAAGAAACTGCACGATCAGAAAAATGGCGGTGATGAAAGTCCTTGTGACGTTGACGACTCTGGCTTTCTTGAAGAACAAGAAGAGGATGGCGACGACGACAACATTGACACAGAAGATCGGTATGAATTGGTTGACACTTGTCAGTCGAAAACCCTATATTACACTGTTTTGAATGAAGAAGAAATTCGCTAAATTCAGGAGGATGATATCAACAAATTGTCTGATGTCATTTCCCTACCGAAATACGCCGCATGCTTTCTTCTCCCTCGCTTCAATTGGAAGGTTAGAAGGGCTAACGAGGAGTGGTTTTTGGACGAGGATGAAGTCAGCGAAAAGGTATGGTTAATGAAAAAAACAGTGGTTCAATTCAATGCCAGAGTTATAATTACTTGTGGAATATGTTTTGATGAATATGCGTATGAATGCGAAAGTGTGTTGTCTACTTTTTGCGGTCATCCTTTTTGTCGAAATTGCTACAGGTTACATTCGCACTTCGATCAATGACGGTCCTGCGAGTTTGATGCTGAAATGTCCTGAACCGCCTTGTGGCGCAGCTGTTGGTCCGGATTTAATCGGCGTGTTTGACAACCCGAGAAGATTATGAGAGGTATAAACACTTCCTTTTAAGATCCTACGTTGAGGGTCATAGGAAGATCAAGTGGTGTCCTGCTCCTGATTGCTGTTATGCTGTTAAGTACAACGGCAATGCTGATGATGATGATACCGGGATGAATGGTAGTTATGACGTTACATGTCTTTGCTCAAACAGTTTATGCTGGAATTGTTGTGAGGAGATTCATCGTCTGTAGACTGCAGGACGGTGGGAAAGTGGATTTTGAAGAACAAAGACGATTCACATAATGTGCAATGGATACTAGTGAATACCAAGCCTTGCCCCAAGTGCAAAAGACCGATTGAGAAGAACCAAGGGTGTAATACTATGACCTGCAGACCACCTTGCAATTTTAGATTTTGCTGGTATTGCCTCGAGCCAAATGTAATGTATGGGTGTTGCAATCGATATGTTTACCATCCTGTTGCTGACAGTGAAGCTGAGAGTGATAAAAAATAGGCAAAGATATTTTTGTAGGGAATGACGAAAGAGTCTTGTCACCTGTCTAATAATGTAGTGTGACCATTAATAGTAGAAGTCAAGGTTGCTTAGGAAAGTAGTCACTCAATATCATAGTTCAAAGATATTTTTTTGCACTTGTAAATAAGAGTTTTTAAATTCAACTCTCGTAAATAGTGAATTTTATCATTTTATTATAGTTACTTCATTGTGTAGCTTTGCCCAAACCCCTATCTAAATGTAAATATATTTAAAAAATAATGAGTAAGAAGTTTTTTGGATCAATTTTTTTTATTAATTATTTTGTTCCTTGACCGCTAATATGAGATTTTATTATTATTTTTTTCAACGATAGAAGTTTCATTAAATACAAATAGAAACATTTACATCAGCCGTCAGAGTATTGAATAACCATTCCGGCTCAAACTCAAACCAACTATGAGAGCCACCCTCCTTAGACACAAACGACGCCACTAAGTAGGCAGCCTTATTACAATCATGAGAAATATAACGAAACTCAATAGACCTCAATTGTTGATTAATTGTTTATGTGCTTAGTTTCGGTTTATTTTATAGAATATGAAAATGAAAACCCTAGGGGACATTTATACAAGTATACACACATAAGCCAGCAGAGAGAAATAGAAGGGCTAGCTTATACTTTCATCATGGTTGAATTACAATATCTATAGTATAGAAGGGCTAGCTTTTACCCAAATCATCTTCCCTTTGTGTGAAGTATAATTATTTTTTCGCTTACAGAAATATAATATTTCGATGAGTATTGCTACGTATTGGTATATATTGCTCAGTACATACAACAAAAAGGAATGGGGTTATAAATTAATAAACCAATCGAGTAGTTTGTGGACACCGTCACCAGTTAGCTGTATGATCTATCGTCCATGTACACCTGTAGCCAGGGGCGGAGCCACAAAGGAAATAGATCCTGGTTTTACCTTGACATTTTATTCACACAAAAAAAACTAGAGTTATCCTTTGATTTCAAAAGACTTTTTCAGGGTATTGGAGCCCCAACTAGAATCTTTCCTTATTTCCTTTACTGGATTCCATTTGAGACTGGTGGGTACTGTGAGTTTTGAACTTTTGAGGGGCTCATGTGATCCGAAGAGAAAGGAAATAGACGAGAGAGCTAGTTCTTATTTTGGATGCGGTCTCTAATCCTTAACATTCTTTGACTAAAACCTTAATGGTTTTCAAAGTTTGATCAAAGTCCCTTGACTTTGTACACCTCATTATATTAATATTAATATTTATAGTTTTATAGTTTTGACATTAATTGCTTGATATTTTATGAGATTTATAATCCTATAAATTTAAAGTCCCTCATTATAATACTATTAGAAATGGTTACAATAAAAAAATTCAAACATTTTGATTGAATAAAGGGATAAAAACTATGCAACAATAAAAAATAATAAATGACAAAAGAATGTATCCATAGTGTTAAAAAAAATTGGTACATTTTACATATAACAAAGTGGTACATTATAAATAAATTAGGGTACAAATAAAAGATTAAAAAATTATGAATACAAATGAATTTTTAAAAAATATGGGTGCTAAAAGAAATTAATATATGGGTACAAATTAAAACTAAAAAGAAAATACTACAAATTTAAAAAAAAATGTTGCAAATTAAAAGTGGACAAATGTCACATGACGATAAACACATGGATACAAATACAAATAAAACTTTAAAAAATATGGGTACAAAAAGAAACTAATATATGGGTACAAATTAAAAATGAAAAGAAAATTAGTACAAATTAAAAAAGGTTTGCAAATTAAAAATAGGTACAAACTAAAAATAAAAATGTATGATAAAAAATTTAGCCATAAATATAGATATACTAATTGTAACATTTTTAATACTAAAGAAATATTTAAAAATAAAAATATTTTATTATTCAAATAATTAATGATGTTATTAATACCAGGGACCTTGATCAAAAATTGAAAATGAATAGGGTTTTAATCAATGTAGTAGCAAAATGAAAGATGTGAACATAATTCCTCCTTCTTTTTTTTTATATTTTTGTTTTTGTTTTTTATTTATATTCCTTGAAATCTTTTAATACTATCACTTTTGCTTTTTCTTTTTTCTTTTTTTTTTCTATTTCCCTCTTTTTATTTTGAATCTGAGTCAGGATACTAGGTATGAGGGTTGAATTGAGGAAGAGGATGACAACAACGGCATCATACCAAACCCAAATGATGGTGGTCGGTAGTTAGGACATGGCAAATCTTTATTTTTCTTAGATTAGAAGAGCGTTCTAGGGTGAAACTTTTGGTTTCTCTTGAGCTAAAATTCTGACTCCATCACGGTCAGTATCTGCAGATCTCTTAGTGGTAGAGAGTCTGGAGAGAAGGAAGATACCAGCAGAGGAAAGAAGCACAGATCCAGCAAAGCAAGCAAGATCGAGCGGCGTCACGAGAGGTATGCTCCTGAACTTGTCCAGCAGTCCCACTTGCAGTATCATCACCACTGCATGACCTATTTTCGATTTCGCTTGCGAAACTGATTCCATGTTAACCCATGCTGGAGGTGCCTGAAATGTTTATAATAATTACATGAATTAGAAATGATATCTATTGGTACAAATATTAGAAGATATTTACATTATGTATGTAAAAAGTTACTGAAAGCTACCTTCATGTAGAAGAGACCAAACAAATTTGAGTCGGAAAACTGCGGTCCCTTTCCTTTCGCGGCCTTTGACCCCACGAACATGGCATACAACCCAACTGCAAAAATAAGCATGGCGGTGCCTACCAAGAACATATCTGTAAATTACAAGAATCAATCATAAGTAAATTATAATAAGGCATAACTAGGATGAATATCACATATGTGGATGTGGGTACTTTACTTACCAATGGCTTCAATAAGAAGATGCACCATATGGCCTTGATCCGTCTTGTGTGACAAGGCATGGAAATACTGGAAATATGACTCGAGAACAATAAAGCAACCCTGCATTCATATTAACGTTGAATGTAAGGACGTGTCGATTGATGCTAAACTAGTTTCAAGGTTCGATTCCCTCCAATGGAATCAATTAAAAAGGGAAAATGGAAATTTCACCTCTACAAAGCATAGTACTGAACCGAGTAAAGATCCCGCAACTGCAAGTAACGTAAAGAATCGGCAATCTATTATCCCCTGCACAAATGAAGTATGTATAAGTAACTCTAAATTACCAAATAAAATTATATAAAATTTGACAACTGAGAACACGAATGTAACGGACATATGTACCCTTTCAATGAACATCTGAACTTGCTGTCTCAAAGACCTTGGTTTGAGAGCCGTTCTCAGTAGAATGGGCAAAGCACGGTTGACCTTTCCGACCAGGGAAGCCAAATCTACGAGGAGTCCACCCTGATTCTCAACTTGTGGCTCCGTCAATGTGGTTTTCGACACCTTCACAGCCACTGTATGCTTTTTCTTCCTCTGATGACTATCATTATCAGTCCTAGTAAGTTTCTTCCCCCCGTTTAATCTTCCGGCCATGCTCGAACACTTCAGTGCTGTTGATGACGGAGAAGATGGAGAAAAAGAGGATGAATGAAAAGTCATGGGCTTCAACGTGCGCAATAATCTAGCGGCTGCCATTGCTCCGGTTGACAACACAAATGAAACTTACTGGTTGGTTTCGGTGGGTATATATATAAGTTTGTAGCTAGTGTGGTTCGTCGTATGGAGATAAACAGAAGATTCGTGGCATCTTAGCTGGTATTTGTCTTTGCATGGAGTAAGCATTCTCTTTTTCCTTTTGCTTGGAGAGGTTGGTTTTGAACTTTGAATTCTTCCCAACAATTTGGACGTACCAAAACCAAACCAGAGCCTCTAATGTAATGAGTCGCTGTCGGCACGTGCTCTGCATGTTGGCACCATCCGATTCGAGACCTGACACGTGTGGACGTGTGTTTCGTGGGATAATTTTCTTGCTGGGAATTTACGAACGAGGAATTTTCTCCCTCGACGGCTTGTGGAACTTGGAATATGGAATTGGAAGACACAATGCAAGTCAGAAGGAACGGTATTTTTTCCACATTTCAATTGCTTGTGTTGTGGGTTTCGACTTGTGCTTTTGGGCTTTCGGCTTTTGGGGATGGAAGCATGCGTACAAAACGACGAAGCAAAAGCAACGGAAAGAAACAGGTTACGTAGAAAGTCTCAGCGCCACATGAAACAGACAGCCAGGAAGTTGCCCTTCTGCCTTCAGAAACAATCTCAAGGCCAATTTTTTTTCATGGTTCCATGTGCCGACAGTGCACTTTTGATGTGATTCTCGGTAAAATAGTTGTTAATTAAACTCTTGTGGTGATCCCAAACTTCTGTTAGTCCTCGGTTAAACAAAAGCACAAGTAGGGTTGAAATTGTCCTTTCAAGAAAGATAGATCGATGAAGCCAAAACATCTACGAGTTCGGGGTGACATAGGATTCGATTGAGATTGGAATTTGACAGAAATCGAGAGGCTTAAGGTTTGCGGCTCAAATTGAACGAAATCGAAGTGTGAATCGAAACATTTGACTAAAAAATAGGTTACAAACCCTGATGCTTCTAGATGATGTATATGCTTCCAGAGTTGGTTGTTGAATGGTGAAACCTATCACTCAAAAATTGAAGCGGCAAATGTGAAGGGCGAACTAATATTAGATGAGTTGGGCTTCAAAAGTTTAGATCGAAAGGATAATTTTAACCCCGCATGTGAGGCGCACATGCTAACGGGAACGCCACATGAATTTAATTAAAACTTTTAAACCACAAGGTTCACATTGAAAGTGCAATTTCACTCATTAAATGGGATGAATCTTAAAACGTTATTGCACTTGGTTCTGTGCTACGTCTTCCGTTAGATCCAAATACTCTAAGTATTTTCTTAAAGTCTCTTCCAAAATCTTCCTAGGTCTTTCTCTACCCCTTCCGGCCCTGAACCTCTGTTCCGAAATCGCATCTAATAACCTAAGCGTCAGTAGGCCTTCTTTTCAAATGTTCAAACCACCGTAACTAATTTCCTCTCATCTTTCCTCCAAATTCACCTCAAAGATCATTGGCCCATTCTAAAAATTACCGACCATAAATCTTTTATTACTGTACGAGTTATTTTCTCCTCCTAGTATATGATATTTTCGCGACAAACAAATATCCTCTTATATGTCATACGAAACTAAAGAAATAAAAAATGGAATTAGTGAACACTGTTACCCGGAGCTTACGGCCTGAACAGAAGTAAAGGCTGTGAATACGACTTTCACCTATAAATGCATTCCATGACATGCTGCCCGTTCCATGCGGAACATAAGAAATCACAACAGATGCATTTGCAATTGTGGAAAGTTGGAAACACGAAAAGGAACCAGAAAGAAGGCGGAGAGGGGAACAGCACAGACAAGTAAGCAAACCATGCATAGCCCGAAAGAAGTATGGCAGTTGCCTATCACAAATCATCACAAGAACGAAACAAGGACCATCGATATCTTACCATGGTCCCCTCTGCTGTGACACCACAACTCGTCAATGTATTTGCCATTCAGAACCTACAAGCCTGGAACAAGTTATAATCTTGCTAGGGTGAGCCTAACTATGGTGTTAAGGCAGACTACGCTCATAATAACTCAAAGATGATTGCCAAGACTTACATCATTCAGACACAAACTAAACGATAACACACTATTCGCCTGCTGTAAGAACATAAGTAGAAAATTAAATAACGAGGAAAACCAGTTACCAAAGTTCAGGTCCAAAATTACTCAAATCCAATCACAGGCGAACAGAGTGTTATCGTTTAGTTTGAGTCCGAATGATGTAAGTATTGCCCATAATCTTTGATAGTACCGAGACTTAAAACAAGGAAACTAAAAAATATGGAAAAACAAAATGGAAAACTTCAATTATAATGGCACAGTGACTATCTCACTACTACATATATAAATGTGGCTCAAAAAGTGCTTGAAACATCATCGTAGTAAATGCCTCAGTACATGATCTTGATTTATCATCACTGCCACATTCTATTTCATAACATGCTACCAAAAAATAAAAAATTCAACCTGTACAAAAATTGATAAATCTTAATGAAAAACTCGATCAAAACCCCAGCACAGTACCAAAACTATAGGACTTAACTACAATAACTTGTGGACAGGCATCAAACATGGAAAAGATTATGATATAATGGCTTTACCAGTTAAATATGCTAGGCCAAGGCTTGCATAATTCTTTCTCTATCAAGGATAAGTGAATCAGTGATGAAAAACATTGGAAAATGATACATGAATAGAAATTTTGGATATCGAACTATGAGATCAGAGTATAATAAACAGCTACAAATTGGAAGATGGCGTGCCAATAGTGTTAGAATGAAAGTGCAAGTAGAACACAAAACATACATTTGATCAAACTATGGGTATCACTTAGTACAATGGTATGCCATTATTAACAATTTGTCTTCAGATTTGGCAAAATTTTGCAGGCTACTGCAAAGAGACTATTAATATGTAAGAACAGAATCAATCATAATACAAGAAATAAAGTCTATTGAACTAAAACTTTATTTCATAATTTAGTAAATGTATGCCTCAACTGAACTACAAAACTTTTATTTCACAATTTGGTAAACAATACCATTGCTCAATAGCCTTTATTCCCCCGAATCCTGGCCCTCATGTCAACCTGCCCTCTTTTGCAATTGAAGTACGTTTCCCTCAGACCAATACATTCGCTTGATATTGATGGACTCTTTTCCCCAGCACACTCCCTAAACGACCGCTTCTCAACCTTAATGCAGTCACACTCACTAAGACATTTGACCAATTCTGTTGCCAGGCCCTTGCAAGACTTTGCCATTTCGCCCTAGCCTCCCCTGAAAATTTCGAGTACTTAAAAAGTTGAGAGTCTTGAGACTAGAATATAAGTGAAAGTAAATGCACCGCATGAAGTTTCAAATAACCATTAAATCACAATCAAATACAGATGCTAAATCTTGCGAGTGCAAACAATTTGAAACTAAGATTGCTCGGGGGTTGGATAATCTATCAAATGCTGATTAAGTGTGGAGGAAACCTAGCAACTTGTTACTAATTACGCCTACCAAAATAAATATATAGATATGTTTCCTAGATTACTCCGCTCCAACAGAACTAGGCCACCCCCATTCTAGCAGAAATTCACCTATCCAACATCTAAAGCCCACATTTCCTTACTTCAATTTGTAACTTAGCAGCTCTCAAGTCAGTAGGCACCATACCATCCCACATTTCTAGTTCCGCCCTTGAGCGCAGACCGCACTTGGACAGCCTCCATTTACGCTCCAAATGAAAATGTTAACGAATGCGGTAAGCCCGAAAATGAACTCTGTCATTCAACTCAACTAACTGATAGACCAATTGATGGTAAATTCATCGAGTTTAGGGATGCAAAATATCAGAAACCTATCCACTTAATCACTGAGATTTTTGTAACGCAAAAAGGAAGGAACTTTCTACACAAATTGTACCAAACCCATCTAACCCAAATCCAAAAAAAATCAAACCCATAAAAAATCTATCGTCTTTCCAGCTAACCTCTTTCGGATGTCAACTCAGAAGCTTCAAGAATCAAGCTCTAATCACTTCCCCTATACCTGATTAAATTAAACAAGCTATATAATATTTCTGTAATTTCAAACTTCCTTTGGTTTATGTAGACTAAAATCTCTAGGAAAACTACCCAGAAGTTGTACGCCTTGAATTTTATCCCTAAATGTATAGAAATTGGGAAGGGTCAGCTTACCTCCAAGAACGCAAAAATCTGGATCAACGACGAGTTCTGATTTCTCCGCACAGTTCCGACTCGTCGAGAAGGAAGAAGAGGAACGGAGAAATACGAGCAAGCAAGACACCGGCAGTAATTTTCCGCAACCGAAGTTTGTAGATTACAAAAATGGGTGTAAATAGCCAATGCGGCCTTTATTTTTATTTTTATTTTTTTTCTTGGGTGCTTTTGGGGCCTGGGGCCCAAAAGAAACAAAATAACCAACGCAGCATTTTCAATTTTTCACAACTCTTTTCTCTTTGTATACTCTAATTATTACTTTATTTTTTATTAAAAAAATCATTATTACTTTATAGTTAAAATGGTGTTTGAGATGAGCATACTTATTATGACTTTTGACAATGAAAATCGATAAAAGTGGTTTTTGAGCTTATACACAATAAATCATGTCATTTCGTGAAAAATTTGAATTTGAGTGATTAAAATTTGAATTTGAGTACAAGAAAGCAAATACAACATATTGGTTAACTAGTTTTTTATTTATATATGTTTCTAAATTTCTTCAGAAATTCCTTTTTCATCAAAATTTTAACTCAAAGTTTGTGAGTACTTCTTTTTTTCGATCACAAGATTAACTCCTTTTTTGAGCACCAGATTTTCATCCTCGTATGAATTTCCACAGAAAATAAAGAAAAAATTAACAAAAACAAAATATAAAGAGAACATAGAAAAACCATGCTACTGACTGCAACAAATTCACAAGATGTTCCATTTTCTCTCCAATGCAATGCAGATACGACTGAGACACGAAGCAGCACTCAAATGATCTCCAGAAACCGACACCAAATCATCAAGATACTCGCTATCAATCGCCCCACGAGCCATTGCACCAACCACAAACACCAAATTTTCAACATCTGCACCCCCCAAATCACTGACATAATCCCTCAACTCAACCGCCTTGCTTGCGCTGCAAGAAAGTCCTACCTTGAAGGAGTTCACAGGCAAGTGCCGGGTCACAGGATTCTTCACCAGACGAAACAATGTCATGCCGCCTCTGACACTTTTGCCGCTAGGCGCAACCCTAAGATCTTGTAACACCTTTGACATCAGGTCACAGAACTTGTCCAATGATGCTGGTATGGCAGTTCGCGGACTAACCTCAATCAGCACGCCGCAATCCGTTTTGATGTAAACGGCTTCTAGTCTGCCGGACATGCAGAGTCTCGATGTCATGATCTGGTGGAGAGCCTCGTGGACAATGTCGGGGCGGTGTACGTAAGGATCAAGTTTCTTTTTCCTCATGAAATCCGCGTGGTGGTCGGGATTCAAAACCCGAATTATGTTTCCGACATGAGCTAGTGTTAGAGAGGCCTTGTCGAGAACGAATATAACTTTTTGTTTCATCTTATTCGCATTGGAATTGTTAGGGGCTGCTGGAATCCAATCGGGAAGTTCCGTTTTTGTTTCCTTAGTATTTTCTGTCAGTCCAACTGCTTCTTTGATGTCTGCTCCAGCAATAGCATCTATCAACTTTGAACTAAGCCTTTTTCTTGGCGACATCTTTCTCTTTGTTTTGCACAGAAAGGTTGTTCGCAACATCTCTCTCTTCGCCAATCTCATTTTGCAAATATGGACACTTCAGATATCTGAATCAATCTGATATATTCGACAGAAATGCTGTGGAAAAAAAATATCAAATACTTGTTAAATATATTTCACCCTTTTTCTGAAAATTATTTATAAGATGTAGACATTTCGGCAAAAAAACTTCAACCGATACAAAAATTAAGATAAAAACCAAATTATATATATATATATATATATATATATATATATATATAATCGTGATCATCTGCTAACTCTTACCAATGAAGAATTGCGGAAGAATCAACGACAACAATAGCAACAGGGACCAAAAAAAAAAACCCTAATCTCCCTTCCTTTACCAACTGGTCTTCTAATATGAACGAACAATATAAACCACATTGCCAATGGGTTTAGGATTTAGGCAAAAAAAAAAAATTATCCCTACACCCTAACTCAAAAAATACCCAATCAAAATCTATGGCGCTAACCAAATTATACAGTATAGAACACATTACAATACATATTTCAGGTTTCTTTGGTTCTCGGCAAAGAAACGGCGTGAACATGTGAAGCCACAGAAAATTAAATTAGAGAAACATGCAATCAATATTTTAGCAATCAAATCGTATTCATCATCACAGAAAAAACCCTAATTCATTTATCGATGTACATTTATATGCATATAACAAGTTAAAGTAATGATTTAACTCACAAATTCTGCGATATGGATCTTGAAATTACCTGAGAACCAATTCTCTCTGCAGTGCCGAGCCAATCTGAACCAATTCTCTCAGTCAGCTGCCCTAGGGTTTTCGATCAGGTGGGAAACTGTTTGGACCTAAATTTACACTATCGGCCCGTGCAGTCGAGGCCGTTAGATGAGTAAAGTTCTAGATCGTGGGATGATAAAGTGATTGAGATAATTTTCCCTTTTTATTAGGGTATAATATTGTGATTTTTATCATAATATTATCTCTTAATATATATTGGATTATCTGAGCCTAATATTGGCTATATCCAGACGAAACAAATCATATTTCCAACAGAGATACAGTTCAAATGGTTTGCATGGATAATCACGGCATTCAAAGGAAACAGTTTGATGGACTCCACGTGGAAGGCAATTGATGAATCATGATCATCAAATGGCCTGCACTCTTGGAATTTTGGGGTTTTTATTTTCAACCGTTGATGACTTCCACGTGTGCTCGCTTGGTCAGCTATGCATGCATATCTTTGGCATATTTTCAAGTCAGAGTTCTTATCAGCACAAAAGATATATGCTATTAATTATTATTAATTAGCCACGAGGTAGTGTCGTGCTTATAATTTGATATTTATGCCGGTAAGTGATAAAGCATAACAAATCTTTTGTTTTGCAAGAGATTGTTATGAAGGGGGAAGCTTTGATGTTGGCGGCAGCTTTACAACACATGCCAAGCAGATATCCAACCCTATAAATACAGGGCTCAGTGCACATTGAGGGGACCTCCAATTCAACACACAAAACTGCCCTGCGCAAACTCTCTCAACAAATTTGAGATTTTTTATTTTCTCTTTTCGCTGACACATCTTCCGTTGGCATCAACAGCACTGTGAAAGCAACCGGTGATATCTTAAGTCGGCATAGATAGCTCTGTCACCGTAGAATCAGCCGTTCTCGCAGCATCTTCCGTTGGCATCAACAGCACTGCGGCGAGGACAGTTGATTACCTATCCAAGTCTCGGTCGAGAAGGATTTCTGAATCCTTATTGGTCGAGGTCATCTCATCAGCCTTCTCGGCAAAGTGAGGTGTTACAGTTATTACATTCGGCACATTGAAAGCCGAATTTGATATTGAACTTCGTAAGAATAGTAACCTTGTCTTCAGGTTCGAGAGCCCAAGAGGCCGAGACGTGTTCCTTTCTCGGCCGCAATCGCAAGACGCAGAAGTCAGTAGCGCGACCTAACGCAACATCAACAAATTTACTCCTCGGCCGAGCTCGGCCGACGAGTTGGCACGCCCCGCAATCACCGAAGGACGTAGTTAGCTTATAGATTACTCGGTCTGCACGCCACGTAGGCTTTGTAGTTTCTAGGGTCAACAGAAACATATCAATGACAATGTCTAATTATATTCTCTCTAAAGTTTTTGCGGGTGTGCGGCCGATAGGGAGGAGGAGTATTAGTTATAGATTTTCAAGGAGTATGCGGTGGTCGGAAAAACCGGAATTTGAAGTAGGAAGCCCGCGACAGACTTACTGCAGCTCCATTTTTGGGATTTAGGGTTTAAGCAGGGCTTCCTGCTTTTTATTTTGTTATGTTTTAATCGGCTTGAACCCTCCATATATGTCTCGGGGTCGAACAGGTGAGCTGGGCTTTAGCTCAGATATATTAGTTACCCCAATATTATTGGACTGCATGAACAAATTTTACTAGCTTGGCCCAACAATGATCACACTAACCCTCCAACGAGTTTAAATATTCTGCATTCATTTTGCTTGTCGCTTTTATGTGACCTCTATTATTGATTGACACGTGTTTATAAACTTAACTCTTATTAACTCTATTATCATAAACTTAACACGTATCAATTCAATGATTGAGATCACATAAGTGTCATACACAAAATGTATGTAGAAGATTTGAACTCCACCTACGACTTAATTACATGAATTCACAGGAATAACGTTCGTAAGATAAGAATATGATTGTGGTGAGTATTTCACGTCAATTATGTACATTCATTTTAAAAGTCAAACTACATGGCAATATATAATTGGCTTAGGATACCTTTACATACATCACATTGGTGTAAGGAAAAGCTTCGAGTCACATGTAAACTCTTTCTGCGCTCTCCATTTCACCGACAGCTTTGGTGACATCGTGTACGCATTTTGAAGATAAAGCTTCGCAACAATATCTGCCGTTAATCCTTTTAAGCTTTGAAAGATCCTCAACGTTAAGAATCACCAAGTCATGCTTCGCTTCAAGTGACAAAGGGCAATATACTTGTGTTTTTTTTTTCCCTTAGTAAAACAAGTTCGAATTCACAATCCCAAATCTTTGGTTTTTGTAAGAAGCGTGACTTGAATGTTATCGTAATAGTTACACTAAACGCGGTTAGGGTTTCGTAAGGAAATATGAAGGGCAAGACCGTAGCGGAGGGTGTCGTTGGTGAAGTTGAACTCGGTGAGCGAGGTTTGAGTTACCTTAAACCATCTCCAACCGAAAGGGCTACATTTAGCCCTCGTCCAAGTTATAGCCCTGCAAGGAATTATTTTTTAATGAACAATGTCAGGCCATATCTATATATAATCTCCAACCAAAGGGGGCTATTTTTCAGCCTCCTCAATAATTTATTATTTCAAGTTTGTTCTTTAATTTTATCAGTTAATTGAATTAAACTACCATATTAAAATAAGGTTTCCGAACATATTTTGAGAATCACTTGTCGCTAAATGTTGTTTTAAGTTTCATGTTGTTTAAGTTTCATGTTATTAAATATTTTAATTTTACTTGCATGTTAACAACTTAGACATTATAAAATGAGGTCAGATAGTATGAAAGGGTGAAAAAGATGTGCAAATGGTGTAGAAATAGCTTAGGTATTTATATATATTTTTTAATTTTGTGTTAAAAAAATAAAAATAAAAAAGGTTACATGATGTCAGCTAGTAGCACAGCTGGGCCCAACTTTCAAGGCTGGTTGCAGGCTGGTTATGTTTGCTCAACCCTCTGGCCATTTGGCTATATTTTGGCTTGGTGGGTCTCAAATTTTTTTGGCCCAGCCCTCCATTGGAGATGGGTTTTGTGTCAAAACAGAGTATGTTTTGGCCTATAGCCCTTTAGCCGGCTTGGTTGGAGATGGCCTTAGAGTTCAAGAAATGTGGGGTATGGAAAAGGTGATCGTGGCAACAATGGAAAAAAAAACAATTAGAGATATAACGCCAATAAATGAAGAATCGTTGAGTACCAAATAAACAAACTATGAAAATATGAATATTATTAACTGGAAAACAAATAAAAAAGATTGCTAAGATGGCTACAAAGTGAAGACTACATTGTGACTGACTTATTTTTCATACTAACTTACAACCTGTATTTATAGCGACAAAAACCTAAAAACCCTAATACGTAAATACCAAAAATAACCTAATACAAAGTCAATTCAAATTTCTAATAATTTCCTAAATAAACTAATAAATTCCAACATAATCATGTATCTTAATCCAATGGCTAAATATTCTTGATTGAATAACATGCAAATCTTTAATCAATTAACTAATGAGGGTTTAATTTTATAACTTATGTTATATATCTCCAAATGCTAGTCGTAATCATCATATCGTCGCGCGTATAACTGAATCGCCATAATTATGTTATACGACCCTAGACTATGGTATAGTTACATTTTACTTGTCCAAATTCCAAAAGTAAAATGAAAATCCATCACTAGTTAGGCAAAGCTCAAGAAATGATGGTCACATTTGCCCCAACCGGCCAAACTAGGCCAAGTGAATAAAAGGGTCGCTGTACAGTTGCTAAAGGGGACAACACTACAAAATCTATGAGGCCAATTTGGCCGGCAGTGAGAATCCGTATCCAGGCATCGCGTGGTCGGAAGTAAAAAAAGAGCAACAGCTTTGACTTTCAACTGCGTCCGAGGTTTGTGCTTGGCGAGTAGAATTGTTAGACCCACGCGCTATAGTCATCAATGACGATCAAGAACTATAGTCATAAATGACGATTAAGAACGTGCGCGTAAAAAGTAAAAACACCCACCACTTAGAGGCCGTAGACTTGTTTGGATAAATTTTCATATCTCAAACATTCATCGTATATCGTATTGTTATAAATTATTTAATTTTTTTATTTAAAATTAAATACAAATAGTATCTGATGAAAACTAGCCGTACAATGTACGATGAACGCCTCGCAAAATGAATCCAAAAATAATCATTTTCCGTTCGGATAGGAAGCATGAGAAAAACGACAACACAACTTTAGCGTTGAGTCGTTGACGGTCGTAGTCCATGCACGTTTTTTTCTATTTGGCATTACTCCATGAGAAGTTTTCTTTTCTTTTAGTTAAATTTCAGTAATAGCATCTCTAACAAAAGGCTATTGCAAGTGGTTCTTTACCACAGTGGTCGAAATGTGTTGTGTCATTGCATGACGGTATGAGTTCGAACCTCATCGGTGACTAATTTAACATTTAACTTACTAACGTTATCGTTTCTCTCAAAACAAACAAGGCTATTTGCTACTGTTGTTGGAGATGTTCATAAAGTTTAGTAAGGGTTTGGTAACAAGGACGATGATTTGGACCAAAATACAATTCAACATGGCAGGAAAATATGCATAATCCACAATTAGATGAATTGGTAGTATACACAAACGAGACTGATTACAAACTTTTTTTATAAAAAAATTACCACACGAGATACTAAGAAGTCAATAAGAAAGCACCTAATCTGACCGATAGACGATTTATTACTTATTTAGTGTTCCTCTAGTTTACTTTTGATTAAACATTTATAACTTGATTTGTTTTCTAGAGAAAATACTCAGAATTTTCTTTTCGAAGTACACATTCTTACATTCATGTAATTTAGAGTACCCAATTTTACTTGGGTGCGGAAATTGTTCTTTTTGTGTTTTCGACGAGTTATTTTGCATGTGTTACATGATTTGCATGAATGCTAAATGATTTCTTTTCCATAGATGAATAGGTGCACCGCATCTACAAACAAACAGAAAAACTTGTTAATCCCAATTATATGCACTATAAATTCATCGAATTTTATGCATATGTCAAATGAGGTGTGTTGCAGTGAAGACATATTTTCCATGCAATATTTTCAACTAAGGGTTGCACAAACAAGATGAATGTGTTTTACCCACAAACATACCAATTAAAAGGATTTGCTTCAATATTTTGGACAACTTGGTATTTGGGTTTCTTCTAATATTCAACGTGGTTTCCCAGTCGGCGCCACCCAAACCAAAGCAACATATACAATATAATGCACGCCTTTCACGATCCTCCTTATTAAATTGCACTAACTATTGGGCTCCCATAACCCACCGTCTTCCCACTCGACCTCCCCACTATAAATAAAGCTGCCACCCAAACATCCACCATAATTCACCCATCAACTTTCCCATCTCCCTCTAACTAACGGTCAAAGCCTCCTCCAATGGCTTCGACTTCCTTGGGATTCCCTTCTCTGCAGCTACAGTTTCAAATCCAATCATCAAGAAACTCACCACTGTTCAACTCCTCCTTCACGCGCCGTCATGTCCGTCCCATCTCCGCCTCTGTTTCCGAAAAATACCCCTCCTCCTCGTCCGTTTCAGCAAACCCGCCCGAGTCTGACCTGACAAAACCCCTTCCCTTGAAGAACATCCCCGGAGACTACGGCCTCCCATTCGTGGGCCCCATCAGCGACCGCCTGGACTACTTCTACAACCAGGGCAGAGACGAGTTCTTCAAGTCCCGCATCCAGAAATACCAGTCAACAGTGTTCCGTGTCAACATGCCGCCGGGCCCCACCATCACCTACAGGTCCCAGGTCGTCGCCCTCCTCGACGGTAAGAGCTTCCCGGTGCTCTTCGACGTCTCGAAAGTCGAGAAGAAGGACATCTTCACCGGAACCTACATGCCCTCCCTGGAGCTCACCGGCGGCTACCGCATCCTCTCCTACCTCGACCCGTCAGAACCCAAGCACGACAAGCTGAAGCGGGTCATTTTCTACCTCCTCAAGTCGAGTCGCGACTCTGTCCTACCCCAGTTTCACTCGTCCTACACGGAGCTTTTTGAAACTCTGGAGACCGCTCTCGCCGACAAAGGTAAAGCCAACTTCGTCGCGGCCAACGATCAGGCTGCGTTTAACTTCCTGGCCCGGTCGCTGCACCAGGCCAACCCTGCCGATACTCCACTTGGGCTCGACGGACCCAAGCTTGTGTCGAAGTGGGTCCTGTTCAACTTGGGCCCACTTCTGATCCTCGGCCTCCCGAAGTTCATCGAAGAACCTGTTATCCACTCTTTCCGTCTCCCGCCATTTTTGATCAAGAAGGATTACCAGCGCCTCTACGATTTCTTCTACGAGTCTTCCGGTCACGTGCTTGATGAGGCGGAGCGACTGGGTGTCTCACGTGACGAGGCGTGCCACAATCTGTTATTCGCCACGTGCTTCAATTCGTTCGGCGGGATGAAGATCTTTTTCCCCAATATGATCAAGTGGATCGGGCGCGCCGGTGTCGGACTCCACACCCGATTGGCCGATGAGATCAGGACCGTCGTCAGATCCAACGGCGGAAAAATCACGATGGGCGCGATGGAGCAAATGCCGTTGATGAAATCTGTGGTCTACGAAGCGTTCAGGATCGAGCCGCCGGTGCCGTTGCAGTACGGAAAGGCGAAGAAGGATCTCGTGATCGAGAGCCACGACGCGGCGTTTAAGGTTAAAAAAGGGGAGTTGCTGTTCGGGTTCCAACCGTTCGCGACCAAAGATCCGAGGATTTTCGAGAGAGCTGATGAGTTTGTTCCGGAGCGGTTTGTCGGCGAGGAGGGGGAGAAGCTGTTGAAGCACGTGCTGTGGTCGAACGGTCCCGAGACGGAAAGTCCGACGGTGGGGAACAAGCAGTGTGCCGGGAAGGATTTCGTGGTGTTGGTTTCGAGGCTTTTGGTGGTTGAGTTTTTTCTCCGGTACGATTCGTTTGAGATTGAGGTGGCGCCGTCACCGTTGGGGGCTGCCATCACTATGACGTCACTTAAAAGAGCAAGCTTTTGATTTATTTTTGGTTTTTTGGGAATTGTAAATTTTGGTTTTTTGCTTATTAGTGGATAATTGGGATATTGTACTGGCTTTGTGTGGGATTTTCTGTAAACTGATGATCCGTCATAACATGTGCAAATTGGAATATTATGTTTTGTAAGAAGATGGATTGAAGATAAATAATTACATGTGGGGAATTTTATATATTTTTCTTCCACGATGATCGTTGATCACATTGTTTGGGCCCAAAATTATTGTTTTGGGCCGAGCTTAGATATTTTTTGGCCCAGTGTCGGATAGGCCGAGTTTATATTCTTTCTCAGCCCAGAAGTCGTGTACAAGTGTCATTAATATTCAGCCCATGGGTTGCACGGTCAAAGTTGGTCATATCCTATCGAAAGATAAGAATGTGGACGAACCCTCTTATGAGAAAGAGTTGCGACAGGATCAGGATAATGAGATTGAATACAGTCTGATAACAAGCTATGTTCAAAGTCCTAGTAGGAATAGGATTGGGCGAGATAAAGTTGGATCATAAGAAAGAGTTCTAATCCGAGAGGGATTGGGATTCAATACAGGTTGGCTGCTATAAATAGGGAGGGAAGACATCGAAACGACCCTCTCCAATTCAACACACAACTGCCCTGCACAAATTCTCTCAACAACCTTGAGATTTTTTCTTTTCTCTTTTCGCCGACACACCTTCAGTTTGGATAAACAACACTGTGAAGGCAACCAGTGATATCTTCAGTTGGCATAAACAACACTGTCGCCGTAGAATCAGCCGATCTCGCAGCATCTTCAGTTGGCATAAACAGCACTGCGTCGAGGGCAACTGGTTATCTATCCAAGTCTCAGTCGAGAAGGATTTCCGAATCCTTATTGGTCGAGGTCATCTCATCAGCCTTCTCGGCGAAGTGAGGTGTTACAGTTTAATGGGCTCGGCACATTGCATGCCGAGTTATTTTATGATTGGATACTCTTAAGTGGGATTTAGAGCGGCATTTCGACGGCCGAACCAAGTTTACTGTTAAGACTTATATCCGCTTTGAGTATTTGTGCCCTTACACTTTGGTGTCGATTCAGCGTCAGTTTACTCTGACGAATACCATCACTGTGACCGAATCCGACGACGACGATTTGTGAACTTCATAAGAATAGTAGCCTTGTCTTCCGGTTCGAGAACCCAAGAGGCCGAGACGTGTTCCTTCCTCGATCGCAATCGCAACACGCGGAAGTCAGCCGCGCACCCAACGCAACATCAACATATTTTACTCCTCGGCCGAGCTCGGCCGACGAGTTAGCACGCCCCGCACACAACCGAAGGACGTAGTTAGCTCATAGATTACTCGGCCTGCACGCCACGTAGGCTTGGTAGTTTTTAGGATCAACACACATGCTAACCATAATTTGATCGATTCCATGTGGGAAATTTTAATTTGATCATATGTAACTCACGTGTGAGGATGAATTATATCTCACTCTATTGTAAATTCATAATTTATTATGTCAACTTTTCATTTTGACACAACGAACAACAGACCCCTCAAACAGGCTCTTTTTGTGTCAGAACTCAAAACTCTCGTAACAAACGAGACACATGATGTATTGTCGATATACGAAATAATTAATCATGTTTTAGAATTGTGTTGTTGATATTGCGGTGAGTGGAACACTTGCGTGCGTGTATATGTGCAATGACACTCGCAGGATTTCTCCATGTTTTTTTGGTGTGGATGTGACCAGCTAGTGCAGGCTAAAAAGGCTGAAATACAGAGGCACAACAGAAAGGTGGTGTCCCCAAAAGTTTAGTTTGAGATTCCAATTGAAAATTGATATGCACATAAACTATCACCACATGTCTCGTAAAGAAAGAGGAATAATTCATCACGCCATTTGTGGATGTTTGGATTTAATTTTATATTATAAACTTAACCAATGTTAAGATACTTTGTACTTACCAGTTGATATATTATTACATAAGAAACCATGTCTTCTCCAATTTTTTAATTTATAAAAAATAAAAACGGTAGATTGAACGCATGTTATTTAAACTAACCAATTAATTAAGAGTCAATTATCAATGCCAACAATGATATTATAATTTGGTTCACCGCACACGTACACGTCATGGAAATAACGCACATGGTAAAAGTGTAGACGAATTTGCCAATCAGGGTTGTCTCAATTGGTAAACTCTGCCTCAGTGCCTTGTGCGCCTCTTCACAAAGTTCGAGTCTCATTGCCAGCAATCTTCATTGATGCTTGATTTGTAAGTTTTTACGTAAATTCATATCAGTGGTAGCTAGCAGTTAGCTGCTACACGTAAATCCTTTTGGCTCGAGGTGCGTATGCTCTAGTGTTGGTGGTGAGTGTAACCAATATCTTCCTAAACTTTTGTTCAAAAAAAATAAATAAATAAAAGTATAGACGTTTTTTAGTTGTTGGAACATTGCTATTTAGAAGAGTTATTTTTCGTGTGATATTGTAGCCTATTTGTAGGCGATAAGGTTTATATATCTCACTTTCAAAACTTATTGAAATTTTTTTTTTTTACACAAATTACAGTTTGAGTGAAATTATAACATTACGTGACGATATTTTTAATAAATCGAAAAATTGATTGTAAATGTGAATGCCTCTCCTGTTATCAAGCAATGTTACTTGATAAAATGCTTGTATACGGTGCACTTGTCACATCCCAGCCCGGGCCCCTACCATATCCCGAGCTCGACTCCGTCATAACACGATATTGTCCGCTTTGGGCCCCAACCACGCCATCACAGTTTTGTTTCTGGGAACTCAGACGAGAATTTCTCAGTAGGTCAACCATCATGGGATTGCTCTCGCGTGAACTCGCTTAACTTCTGAGTTCCGACGGAACCCGAAGCCAATGAGCTCCCAAAAGGCCTTGTGCTAGGTAGATATGAAAATATACATATAAGGCTTAGAAGATCCACTCCTCTAGGCGATGTGGGATGTTACAATCCACCCCCCTTAGGGGCCCGACATCCTCATCGGCACACTTCCGGCCAGGAATTGGCTCTGATACCAAATTGTCACATCCCGGCCCGAGCCCTCACCACATCCCAGGCTTGACTCCGCCGTAACACGATATTGTTCGCTTTGGGCCCGACCATGCCATCACGGTTTTTTTTTTGGGAACTCACACGAGAACTTCTCAGTGAGTCACCCATCATGGGATTGCTCTCGCGCAAACTCGCTTAACTTCGGAGTTCCGACGGAACCTAAAGCCAGTGAGCTCCCAAAAGGCCTCGTGCTAGGTAGAAATGAGAATATACATATGTTTGGGCCCAAAAATACTGTTTTGGGCCGAGTTAGATCTTTTTCGGCCCAGTGTGGGATAGGCCGAGGTTAGATTCATCCTCGGCCCAGAAGTTATAAACAAGTGTCATTAGAAGATATTCAGCCCATGGGCCGAGCGGTCGAAGTGGGCCATATCCTATCGGAAAGAGGAATGTGGACGAATCCTGTTATGAGAAGGAGTCTCGACGGGATCAGGATGCTGAGATTGAACACGGTTTGATAATGAGTTGTGTTCAAAGTCCTAGTAGGAATAGGATTGGTCGAGATAAAGATGGATTATGAGAAGGAGTTCTAATCCAGGAATGAATGTGATTCAATACAGGTTGGCTGCTATAAATAGGGAGAGAAGACATCGAAACAACCCCTTCCAATTCAACACACAACTGCCCTGCGCAAATTCTCTCAACAACCTTGAGATTTTTTCTTTTCTCTTTTCGCTGACACACCTTCAGTTTGGATAAACAGCACTGTGGAGGCAACCGGTGATATCTTCAGTTGGCATAAACAACATTGTCACCGTAGAACTAGCCGAGCTCGCGCATCTTCAGTTGGCATAAACAACAATGCGTCGAGGGCGACTGGTTATCTATCCAAGTCTCGGTCTAGAAGAATTTCCAAATCCTTGTTGGTCGATGTCATCTCATTAGCCTTCTCGGCGAAGTGAGGTGTTACAGTTTATTGGGCTTGGCACATTGCACGCCGAGTTATTGTACGATTGGATACTCTCAAGTGGGATTTAGAGTTCGGCATTTCGACGGATGAACCACGTTTATTGTTAAGACTTATATCCGCTTTGAGTATTTGTGCCCTTACACTTTGGTGTCGATTCGGCGTGAGTTCACTCTGACGAATACCATCACTGTGACCGAATCCGACAACGACGATTTGTGAACTTTGTAAGAATAGTAGCCTTGTCTTCAAGTTCGAGAACCCAAGAGGCCGAGACGTGTTCCTTCCTTGGTCGCAATCGCAAGACACAGAAGTCAGCCGCGCACCCAACGCAACATCAACACATTTTACTCCTCGGCCGAAGTCGGCCGACGAGTTGGCACGCCCCGCATTCAACCGAAGGACGTAGTTAGCTCATAGATTACTCGCCCTGCGCGCCACGTAGGCTTAGTAGTTTTTAGGGTCAACAACATATAAGGCTTAAATGATCCACTCCCTTGGACGATGTGAGATGTCACAGCACTGAATTATTTGATATAGTTGACTATTCAATAACAAGGACAGAATTTTGTATGTTATCATGTTTATTCAAGCTAATTATGTGTTAATTATTTATAGCACATGAAGTCCATGAAAGAGGGTTCACGAATGTAGTTTCTTTTTCTATACTAATGATAGTTTTTAGAGCATTTTTAATGGAGATACGAAAAGTTTACATGTAAAAGTTACATAAAAATATTCGTGGGAGATGTAACTGTTCTACTCTAGTTTGTGACATATAAATTTGAGATTTCGTCTTCTCATTTTAAATAGTCGAAACTTCTGAAGATATAAAAAATGTGAATTTATATTTTCAATCTAAGATGGCTATCTTTTTTTTTTTTTTTTTTTTTTTGGAAAAGTACGATAGTCAGTAAGGATTGATATAAAATACATACAAGATAATAGGATATGGTGCATATTTAATGGGCCTTGATAAAAACTTTGTTGGAGATTTCAACATGTCGAAGTAAAAAAAGCGTTATCCTCTATTAGGATGTCCAAGACACATCCAGAGGTTTGAATATGCCATTTAGAAAACTTTTCGGCCAACAAAAAATATAACATACTCAATCTAAAGTATTTTGCATCTTACAACAACAACAACAACAACAACAAAGCCTTTTCCCACTAAGTGGGGTCGGCTATATGAATCCTAGAACGCCATTGCGCTCGGTTTTG